GTAGGGCACTGAAAAGAGGAAAATTGGGTGTCCCCATCCACTTATATCTCTTGTCCATCTACCATGCAGCTCCCAAAAGTCTGTACCTGATCTAATATTTAGAAAGATGAGTCCAGTAAATCACACCTTTTCTAACTACAGGTAGTCCTCGCTTAATGACCATAATTGGGACCGGAATTTAGGTCACTAAGCAATGGGTTTGTTAAGTGAATCATCATGTGACTGGACCCAATTTTATGACCTTTTTTGTGGTGGTTAAGTGAATCACTGCAGTCGTTAAGTGAATCATGCAGTTCCCCGTTGATTTTGCTTGCCGGAAGCTGGCTGGGAAGGTTGTATATGGCTCTGGGATGCTGCAACTATCTAAGTGCCAGCTGGTTGCCAAGTGCCTGGATCATGATCATGTGACTGTGGGGGCACTGCGACAGTCATAACTTCAGGCACTGGTTGTCACTTTTTTTAGTACCATCGTAACTTCAAACTGGTGCTAAACAAACAGTTGTTAAGCGAGGACTACCTGTAATAATGTTGATTAGATTTCTTATGTCCAATTGGCAGGTTCATTTTTTTTCTAGCAAGCTAGTCTGGATGAACTTTACATTAGAAGTATAAAGGGCGTATATTTTTTTTAAAAAAGCAGGAAATATACGCAAGAGATTTTGCAGAGAGTCTGCCAATTATTTTTCAAGTGATAGCAGCCATTTTGAATCATCCAAAATTCAAACAGTACCATCTCTACTGGGCTCATTGGGGTGGAGTATATGGGGTTATTACTTTGATTCAAAATATAGCCAAAGAAAAAATCCATGTTGAGCTTGGTGAGACAACCAAAGAATTATCCTTGTCAAATCAGTATAGTTTCAGAACTGACCTCTATTTCTTTCAATGGTGGCTTTTCTATGATCATAAAAAGAGGTAACACTACAATAAATTATTTTGCATTAACTGAAAACTGCCCTGGGTATGACTTGGTTAAAGTGTTCTATTAAAAACCTATTGTTCACACCTTTTTGTGTGTGGACTTACTGTGTGTATTTATTAAGCACTTGACATACCATCAAGGAATGGGTAATCAGAATTTAAAAAATGACAGAAATTTTCTTTGTATCATCTCAGTACTTTAAGTCCAGTTTATATATAGACACAACATCAGGAAGAAGGAGTATGAAACGCTGGAGAAGCACCAAGGCCTGAAGGAGGAACTAAAGAGGATGTGGAAAGTAAAGGCCAAAGTGGTCCCAGTGGTGGTAGCACTCAGGGCTGTGACTCCTAAGCTGGGAGAGTGGCTCCAACCAAGCCCAGGAACAACAACAGAGCTCTCTGTCCAGAATAGTGCAGTGCTAGGAACAGCTAAGATACTGCACAGAACCCAGGCCTCTGGTAGAGGTCCCAAGACTGAGGAAGACACATACCACCCATAGGGGTAAGAGGGGAGACCGAGAGAGAGAGGTATAATCAGATTTAATTGTGACAGAGATGCAGGGGTTTCCATTGATCTTGGATGGATCTCAGATTCCATGAATGTACCTTCAGATTCTCTAATAACCAACATACTAGGCCTTAGAATATTACAAAAGAAACTAAGATAGATTCTCAAACCTCTTCCCCAACTTCTGTATCACTCTTCCCAAACATGATATTCTCGAGCTGTGTTCAACTTCCTTAATTATTGGCTACCATGATTAAAGGCTATGCTAGTTATGAACTGTATGAGATGATCATGGCTTTTCCTAATAAACCAGCTGATCTACCATTGCCAGCCACGTTTATAGATTCAAAAGATAATTATATATACTGCTTCAGTATCTCTTAAATCTAACTGCTTCCTCTCTCATGTAATTAGTCCAATTAGCACAATATTTGCAACTGAGATTTGGACAGGAGGAAAATCAGTTTCTGGCTGTCAACTGTACTAGACCATAACGGGACTGTACAAAGCCAATCTCCGCTGGACAGCAGCAAAGAAGTATAGAATGCTATTGGCTGCCATCTAGTGGTTGTCTTACAGTCCAGATATGCCTAACTGCCTCACCATTTGGCTCAAACAATTGTTATTTTTCCCATTAGGCTAAATTTAATTTATCAAACTGGTGAATGAAATGGAACCATCAGAGTAGAAGGTGCACTGGAGAAGAATGAGTCAGTAGATTTTATTTTCAGAGGTGTGGATGAAAAGATGGATGGATACTGGAAGACTTCCACCTAAGGTGACTAAACTCTGTGGAGGATTCAAAGTAAAGCTTAGTTTTATATACTGAAGACAAGTATACATCTCAAACATATTTGCAATCAGTCAGTGATTAAACTTTTACTGGTGAAGTAGAACTTTACTTAATTGGCATGCTATACTTAGATCACTTCTAGCTGGAAACTCAACTATCACATTGAAGCAGAAGCTTATGTAAATGAAAAGGAACACTGTATAAGCCCTCAATGCCAACCAGGGCATAACAGATTTATTTTCACATGCGCTAAAGCTGAAAGAAAACAGCCTCCGGAGAATTGATGCTTTCACTTTGGTTAATGAAAAGACACTTTAAAGGAATGAAGTTCTGATTTTAAAACAAAGAAAATCTAGAAAGGAACAAGTTTAGCCCAAGTCCCATATGCTGCTGTTCATATATCCAGCCTCCTAGGAACAGGAGTTATGTAGCACTACCCTGGCTTCACAGAGGATAATGTTCTCCTTTTCTTCTTGATAATATACAGTATGTTGCTAAATTGCAAATGTGTATGAATTATATCAGCTTATTAATTTTACACTGGCACAGCTGAGCCCATAAAGTGAGAGACTGGAAATTTCAAAACTGTTCTCCCAGAACTACACACCTGATTCTGCCCTTGTAGATGTGTTTGGTAGTTACTGCTGCTACCCTCTATCTTGTAGGAGCACCTCGCCCAATCTGTGAGATAGGCACCCACAATCTGTACCGTCTGTAGAGAGTAAAGAGGATAACCTTGACAGAGATAGGTGATATCCATTAACAAATAAGGTGAAAAACATATATTAAGCCCCAATCTGCAAAGGTATGTAAAAACATCTCAGACAGACACCTCCCTAATTCACAGGTGTATAAGAGTGGGAGGAGGTAAAGCGCAGTCAGATTTCACTGTGCTTTACCTCCTCTCACTCTTGTCAGTCCACAGTGTAGACCAGACCTAGAAATCAACTCTACCAGAAGACTAAACTACCCTCATTAAGATTGGCTATAGTAACAGAAAGTTGCAAGTTGCCTTGTTGTTTTTGTAATAGATGTCGCCTATCTCTGTCAAGATAATCCTCTATATTCTGTACATTGTTGTTCTGGCATATGGTAGGTAGGTAGGTAGGTAGGATTTTTATACCACAATCTCCTGTTTCTGTAGCATAGGGGTACAGTAATGTGAAAAAGTAAGTATACCCCTTTGAAATTTCTTACTTATATTTCAACATACAGTCAGGTCCAGAAATATTGGGACATCGACACAATTCTAACATCTTTGGCTCT